TCAACCAGTCGCCCAGAACAGGGGGTCAGTACAGAGCCACTTACCAGTACTTGCTTTTTTTGCAGCAGCAGTAAGAATCTTCAGGAGATATTTGTCATTGCTTGTTCATTCTTTGGGTAAGTCTCCTAAATAAAATGTTATGACGGACCGTTGTTTTGATTTAAAGCCTATAGTCTGTTCTATCTTTGATATAACATCTTCCCAAAATGTAGAAAGTTTTCGAAACAACCAGAATATGTGGGTGTGGTTTGCAGCAATTTCCCCACAGCTCGTCCAGCAAAAGGAACTTCCACCTATTTGTTGTTTTGGCATCATGAAAAATCGTACCAACTAAATTCTTGCCAGTAGGCAGAGGATGAGGTTGAAGTGGCAGTCTCACACATATTGTCCCATTGGCCAAAGTTTTTAAATAATAAACCCGGCATACACACAGACGTCCCTGTGAGCTCAGGCTTCAGACTACACACTGAGATTCAGACATTATGTTACTCCTGGTTCTTCATGATGCCAACATGAGAGCATATATTTCTACAGGCATCTCTGGAAACACAGCTCTCAACTCTCTCCTATCTGCTGTTCAAATCTTGTGGTTATGAGGGGCAGCCAATCAACATAAAACCAGCTTAGACAGAAGATGAACTGAGGGGCCCAGTGAGAAAGTACAAATAATTATTAATTTGTATTGTTAATTCAAAGCTATTCTATTAGAGACGAAGGAAATGGAGATGTGGCAATGGGCATATTAGGTCCCTTTAAATTATTATAATTCATACTGATCGTACTATATTTGTTGCACTCACAGTAATGGCTGCTGAGGCACAAAATTATTTTTTGGCAGGAAAAGAGTCACTGGGATTCCTGTGACTGTAGGTAATGGTTGCACTGGCCTACTTTGGATGAGCATTTGTGCTAAAAAGTCAGGGCAACGGAATGATTCGTCCATCCAACAAAGTCTGCAAACATTTTAATATCAGAACATTTCATAAAGAGAAATTTGGAACAATGCATTTGTTTAATGACCGACAGGCTTATGCTGCAGTCCGTGAAGCCAGCATGCTGCTAACATGGCTGAGAGTGTAATGTAGGCTGATACAACATCTGTGTTTGTAAAATAGCCACATAAACTGCCTGCAGTTCAAATGTTAGATATGTAGCACATTGAAATAATGGATGTAGAGCAAGTTGTGTGCAGTAAGAGGAGGGACGGCATTTACTTGAACTGTCTGCATCCTTAGCTGATGATGCTTCAGTATCCCAGTGTTTTATGGGGCTTATGAAGGTTGACGGCGTGCTGCTGCATCCTGAAAAACACAATGAAAAAGACTTGAGGTCATTTTCATCTTATATAAATTTTCATCTAAATGGAAATATACAGTGTGTCCTCTGACATTTTGTGTTTGTGAAGCGAGTCAGTGTTGTGATTCTGAATGATTCTGATGCTTAGTTTTATATTCGGCCTGAACTGCAGAAGAAATTAAATGGACTGAGGTAAACACATAGACGGTGATAGCGAAAATCTGCTGCAGGAAGCCATGAACGCCATTAGAGTTCCCACTGAATGAAAACAAACAGAAAGGTGGCTCAGAGCCAGCCGGGGTAATTGAAAGGTGTCTGTGATAAGGACGGAGGCTTTCACACAAGAAGCATCATGGGCTTTAAACTAAATGAACAGCTTTGTATTATTAACCCAGTCACAGAGATTTTAAACTGAGCACAAAATCTTTTCCAAAGACTGGCGAGTGGCTCAAAGTGTGATCGACTGACAGGCTGCCCACGTGTGTCCAGGTTTTACCCAGCCTCTACCCTACGACAGTTTTCCAAATTAATTATGTTAATACGTAAAAATGAATAAGATTACGGCAAGCATATTCACCCACATCCTTTCTTACTTATAAGGGTATATTCAAAGTATCCTGGAAATCACTTACTTTTTTCAAGATGATTTGAAAATAAAGAAACTAGTAAGAAAAAGGTGATAAAAAATGACGGTGGCCCTTAGAGGACAAATGGACTGCAACTTAAGAAAACGCCAACAATAAGAAAAATGCTGCAAAATCACACAAAACACAACGGAAATGGGAAAAATGATAACGGCAATAGGAAAAAAAACACAAGGGAAGTGTTTCTGGGCAGACAATAACCCGACGGACCAGTTGCAGGCACCCAAAACATGGTAGGCGTGTTTTATCATGATTCATATAATACTGATGACAGATTTTTAGGCTAATAGTTAGGCTAACACACTTACTGCTCCTCTTTTGTTTCCTCACAAAACCGATAGATCCTAGCGTGTCTCCCAGTGCAAATCTTAGCATATTTTGGTTCCTGCAACTGGTCCGTCGGGTTATTGTCTCCCCAGAAACACTTCCCTAGTGCTTTTGAAAATCTGTTTTTTCCTATTTCCGTTGTCGTTTTTCCTATTTCTGTTTTCTTTTTTCCTATTTCCGTTGTGTTTTGTGTGCTTTTGCAGCGTTTTTCTTATTGCTGGTGTTTTCTTAAGTTGCAGTCTGTTTGGCCTCTCAGGGCCACCGTAATAAATCTTTTCAAGTGATGGAATATGAGAAAACTGTAATTTACTTGAGTAAGACTTACCAAACTTTACAGACTTTTCTAATCCTTATCACACAGAGGTGACTTTAATGCTGCTAGTGTAGCACTGCAGTCATAGAAGCAGCCACACTATTCTAAACTCTTGCACCTTAAAGATATATGGTTGGTTACAATTAAATAAAGAAACAAATAAGAGAAAACTTAGAACATGTCTCCTGCACTACACTGCTCACAAAAAATGAAGGGAACACTTGACCATCGCAGTATAACACAGAGTCAGTTAAACTTCAGGCATATCCATGTGTACAGGAAGCAAAAACCACTCTAACCATCGGTTTCATGAGCTTTGTGCAAATCAAAGTAACAACAGGTGCATTCGAGCAGCAACAAGAAAACCGCCCAAAATATAAATATTTCTGCTGGTGGTGGCCACCAAACATTGCTCTCTCCCTTTTCCTCCTGAAGGTTTTTCGGCTGTTTTTATTTTTGCTTCTGTCCTTGTCACTGCTGGTAGTATGGGACAATATTATCAAGAAATCAACCACAGGAATGAAGCTTTTCCCAAAAATGTGATTCTGTTAATCTGGACGTAGTGTTTTCAGAAATGTTTCAACACACATCCAAGCGACTTCTTCGGTCACCTCACAAACAATGGACCTCACAGCCCATTGTTCATTCAGTGGGCTCGTTTCAGTCATTATGCAAATGTGCTGTTTATAAGGTTGAGAAACCTGCAGTCAGCTGAGACTGAAGAAGGCTTAACTTAAAAAGCTTAATTTCTTTGCATGCATAAAGAAATTAAGCTTTCTAATCCAAACCTGGTAATTTTATGTGATCTGAAACTTAAACAGCTTAAATTAAACTGACAGCACAAAATTTTTGTTGTATGGATTTCCAACTGTAGTGTCAGCTGCCACCTCCTTCCTCATACGCAGACTTTATCACCTTCAGAGCGAAGGCCATCGGACTGTGCAGACAATTAACTGCTTTAAGACTGAGGGTCAAAATCACCAGCACACCCAGTCTCTCTGTTATTTTGCAAAAACCCCATGGTATCATTGAGCCGCTGTGAGCAGGGTTTGAACCTGCGCAGGGAGACCCTATTGGATTTCAAGTCCAACGCCTTAACCACTCGGCCATCACAGCTGCAAAGTGTAGTGGAAAGTGTGCAGACTTACCATATACACTTAAGGAAAACTGGCACAAATGTTTAGTTTGAGAAGGATGATGGTCCTGTGCTATCTGGGAGATGGTGAAAAAGTTGCTGCTTATATATCATTATATACATATATGTGGGGATGTAACAGCGGTGCAGTCGTGACCACTGTTGCCTCACATGAAGAAGATTCACATGCGCTCCCTGTGTCTGTGTGGTTCTTCTCTTCAGGTGCTCTGGGTTCCTCCCACAGTCCAGACATGCTTGTTAGTTGAAATGGTGATTCTAAATTAGGTGTGAAAATCAGTGTGAATGCTTCTCTCTCTCTCTCTGTGTTAGTCCTGTGACAGACTGCTGACCTGTCCAGTGTGTACCTCACC